TCTCTCTCTCTCTCTCTCTCTCTCTCTCTCTCTCTCTCTCTCTCTCTCTCTCTCTCTCTCTCTCTCTCTCTCTCTCTGTGTCTGCACATGTGTCTTCGTGTCCATGTTCTTGCCCCCTACCTCCTCCCTTTCTCCTCAATGGCTAGATTCTATCCCTTCCCTCTTTCCTGTCCCTCGTTCCCCTGTGTCTCTACTTAAGTCCTATGCTTTTTTATGTAACACATTGCTCCTCACATATGCTCTGTGTGTGTGTGTGTGTGTGTGTGTGTGTGTGTGTGTGTGTGTGTGTGTGTGTGTGTGTGTGTGTCCTTCCCGCTTTCCAGAATCATGGACCTTTCCTCTTAACTCTTCGTTTTGTTTGTGTGATCTCAGTTGTTGTTAGGAGATGTTGTCATATCTGTCGACACTGCCCAAAGGCAGGCACAAGAGCGTAAATACAGCTTGCACGATGAGATGCGTGTGCTACTGGTGAATGCTCTCTTCCCTTCCGTCCCCAATCTTTGTCGGGCATTCTTGTCCCCGCTTCTTTTTTCCCTTCTTGTTGCCCCAAATACTTTTTTAAGTTTTTACCCTCCGAATTTCTGTGGTTTGGTTTTGCGGCCAGCCCTTTTCTTTTCCTCAAATTTCGTTTTTTCCCCCTCCAAATTCGATGGGGTATGTACATTTCCCCCTGCACGTTGCATCTTAACGTGCTTCTCCCTTACGGTGCCCTTACCCTCAGCGTGATGACCCTTTCCTTTGTTCAAGCTTTTTTGCGAATTTCTATTTTTCTAATAATGTTAGCAAGTCCAAACAACCATCGTCCTGCATGCCTATGCCTTTGCAGGACTGCACCCGTGTGCACAGGGACGTGCGGGCCACTGGTTGGTGGGCTTGGCCTCATGGCTCGCCTGAGCCTCCCTGCGCCCCCTACCATCTTCACCCGAATAGAACGCCCGGTAATTATCGCCGTATGTGGGCTGAAAGTTGTGCCAAATACAGCTATAATGACCTGGCGTTCTATTCGGGTGAAGACTGTAGTATACTGGACCCATCCAACAACAGTTTGACAACCCCAGCGTTGGGCTGCAGAGGGGTGTGACAGTTCAGGTTTGGACATCTGGGGGAGGGCAGGGAACCTCAGCAGGATGACCCTTTCTTCAACTGTTTTTCCTTTTTCCTTTGTGTTAATAATGCTAGTTACAATTGTCCTTGGGGACATCCGTCAAAATTGGAACGATACAGAGAAAAAAAGATTAGCATAGCCCCTGCACAAGGATGACACGTATAAATCCAGAAATGGTCCAAAAAAAAAAAAGAAAAAAAAAAAAAGCAAGCCAGTTAAAGACCAGGGAAACTGAATGACTATTGGGTCTCCAGTGCTCCACTCTCCAGCGCTCTCTACATAAACTTCTGAATAGCAGATGGGAATAACAAAAGAGGCAAAACACAGCGGAGCGTCTATTCTGGAGTTTTCTTCTCACCTTTATCTGAGTCGGTGAGGGTTATTGCCTACTCTTCACCCACCCAGGCAATTCCCTGATAGGATTTGGGTTTAAATCGGGTCAATCTGGTTTGGTCACCAGAAAAACCGGGCCGGTCTGCTTTGGTTCATTGGGTTAAAAAAACCGTCAAAGTTTAAACCCATTCCGGCATTCCCACATAGACTTTGGCATTTGGAGGCTTTTGGAGGGCTTTTGGACCCATTTAATTTCCCATTCAGTGCTGTGTTATATGACCCTTCTCACCAGAATTCAACCGGATCTAACTGCGTCAAGCTAACACGAAAAAAGAAAAGGGGGAAAGAAAGGAAAATTCAAAACTGTGAGAAATTGGGAATAGGTACTCCATTTTCTATCCTTCATTTCACAAAGAGCCCTCAGCCAGTCATCAGGTGTGTGACACTGCATATTGCTGTTTTGCCTGGTTGCCATATATCCAGACTGGAGTGATGAATGGTTGTGTGTTGCCCCCAGCGGTAAGTACCTAAATCAAGAAAAAGTGGAACTCTCTGATTTAGGCCCTTGCTTCAGTCCCATTCTCCCCCTCCACTCCCTTTTCCCCACTTTTTCTCCCGGTCTCCTTGCCGTCTTTGACTCACCCATTTTCTGGTAGTTTTTTTTTTTTAATCCACTTCCACCCCGTATGTCAATCCCGTTGGTCCTCCTTCTACTAGCTCCCTGACCTTCTCTCAAACCGTGAACTCTCTCCTACCCCCTCAATTGCTACTCTCAACCGCTCACTCCCTAGTCGTACCTAATGTGCGTACCAGGAAAAAACGGCTTGGTCCACTTCGCTTAACAGAAAAGAATTGGTCCAGTCTGCGCTGGTTAAATCGGGCCCATCTGCTTTGGTTACCTGAAAATTGGGCCATATGTCTACTGTGGTTAACCTTAGTTTTTACTTTGGTTAACNAATTGGGCCATATGTCTACTGTGGTTAACCTTAGTTTTTACTTTGGTTAACCCAGGAGTTTACTTTGGTTACCACTTTCTCAGTTGGCCTGTTGGATGGATGGGTAATCTGTCCGCCATATGTTTTTCTGCACTCCATAGAGGTCTCGAAGTTGACTTTGGGCCCAGATTGCCCAAAGTCTGTTGGGGGCATGATTTTGGGGCGAGATTACTCACCCAGTGGGGCATGATCTTCTGCAGTGCCGTAGGGGTCTAGAGGTAGATTTCTCCAGCAAACACACGAGGGGCATGATTTGGGCCCAGATTGCCCACCCAATGGGGCATGATTTTCTCCACCGCCATAGGATCTAGCGGTAGATTTCTCCAGTAAGTAACTGCATGGGGGGCATGATTCGCGGCTGGTGGTTCAAGAGGGGGGAAACAGTAACCTTCTGAGGGGTTGAGCAGTGATGCGATTACAACTCGCCGCTGTTCATTAGTGACCTAGGGTGGTGTGATTAGCATTTGACCGCCCCCTGTTCATTAGTGGCTTACTCGGGCGTCCTGCCTTTGCATACTCAATGACTCATGGTTGGTTTGTCACTCTGGTAACGTGCTTGGTTGACGCTTTGGGTCCTTGTTTTCCTAGTTATGTTCCTGATTTGTGTTCCTGCTTTGTTGTGTTCCTGGTTGGCTGTGTGCCTGGTTGGCTGTGTTCCTGCTTGGTTGTGTTCCTGGTTTGTTGTGTTCCTGGTTTGTTCTGTTCCTGGTTGGTTGTGTTCCTGGTTGGTTGTGTTCCTGGTTGGTTGTGTTCCTGGTTTGTTCTGTTCCTGTTTTTTTTAATCCTGGTTTATGTCAATCTGGACCAGGTTCATGGGTTGCTCCACTGTCTGGGCTACGATCACGAACAAGGAGAGGAGGAAGCACTGCTCATGGCTGAGGAGGAGGAGCGCATCTTATCCGCTCTTGGGTGGAAAGGGCATGGGTTGATCAACAATGTTGCCGATGTGGATGCAACCGATGAGCACAAGGATGTCCATGGCGACAATGCTGCAGGCGGCATAAAAAACAAAAGCTCTTTCAAATCCGAGAGTGAGAAAACGATATTTGCAGCTGAGGAAGCACAGCTGCCTAAGAAAACAGGAGGTTAATCCGCCGCTTGCCTTACCTGATTTCACTCTGTATTGTTTTCAGCGCCCTTTCAAGGGGGTTCAGGATCGTGAGGAGAGTTTAGGATTTAGGGGTTCATTGTTCATTGTGTGGTTGCGCCGCCCTCGAAATCAGAATGAGGGGCTCTTCTCTACTCTGCTGACACTGGTTTTCTGTTTTGCCCAGTTGATCTTTCTCAACCAACCATGTCTTTCCTTTTTGTGTACATAGAATAAGAATATGGAATCGATCGGTGTGCATGACCGTTGATGTGCAAATTTGCAAAATCTCATCGGGAAAGAAATCAGCATAGACATTATAGACTAGAGAATTCTAGAATGCACAATAAGTACTTTGTGC